AATGTAACATCTGCCAGGGCCCTCAGGGCTGTAAGTATTACAGGGCTTCAGGGCTGTCTGAAATTTCTGTAGGAATACAGAATACATAATGAAGCTTCATCTGCAACATATGCCTCATGCCCTAGCTCTTCCTTCCAGCCCAGCCTTCTTGCTTCCTTGTTAAGGCTAATGAAGGCTAATTAGAGCTTCTGCCTAAGGAAGTCAGTCTAACTGGACACAGGGCATGTAGGACTAACAGTCCTCTCGCCTTTCTATATGGTGTAAAGGGGCTGGAGAAGGGATGAGAGCCTTACCTCATAACTCTCCACATTGCTTAAATATGTTATTATATAGCACTTACGCTATTAAAACATAATATTAGCTTTAATACTAGCAATAATAAACAAATAATAATGGGAAAAAATAGATGATTTTTATAGCAAACAACAAAGAAACACTAAAGCCAAGCCCTTTGGTGTACTTACATGTTTGATCAACACATGCTTTTTTGACCACAACTTACACACACACACACACACACACATACACACACACACATGCACAGAGAGAGAGACAGAGAGAGAGAGAGAGATGCACACCAGGTTGCTTAGGGCCAGCAGGAAGGTACAAAAGCAGTGCTTGGGCTACATTTCTGGAGAGGCTAAGGATCTATATTTTCAGAAACTGTAATGTGTGTGTATACACACACACACACACACACACACTCTGCAATTACTGAAGATTTAGACCCTTACCCTCCTCAAAAATGTAGCCCAAGCACTGCTTTTGTGCCTTCCAGCTGGCCCTAAGCAACCTGGTTTCCTGTGTTCATAACCCCTTCCCTAGCCTGTATGTCGTAACGCACTGGTAACAATAACATTTCTGAAATCTAAATGGCTTACAGGCCAAGAAGCTGAGCTCAATCAACGCAGGGGGAAAGCAGACCATGGAGAGGTATTATTTCTGACAACAGTCCAAGAAACTCTTGGCACTTCAAGGCATTCCCAATGTCCTTTGCACTATTTCCAGGAAAAAATGATTCCCAAGGCCTTGTATATTAAAAGAAGTTGGGTAAAAGCTGGCTTATATCAATAAACACAATAACTACAGTATTTTTCTCTTTAATCAGAGCACAGCTAGCATGTAGAAGAAATTAGAAACTTACCAAATGGCTGTTCTGGTATAAAAGGTAGCATTTCAAAGTTTCAGAAGTCCTCCTCTGGAGGCCACAAATTCACTTTTGAGGTGCTTGAACCTGACCCTTCTTTTACACTTTACCTATCTAATATGAAAGAGCACAACAAAAGTCCATGGTCATCCTTTTTCTGGACTAACTGGGAGACAGTTGGTGTTTGTACTTATGCTCCATTAGAGAGTAGTCAAGATAGATCCACAACATTGGGTTGTGGTTTGTTTCTCTTTTTACACCACACATTACATTCCTTTTTCTTACACCACGTGTTAGTTTCAAATGGCTCTTTTGTTCTTAGAGTCAAAGTTTTAAGTGAGTTGCTCTGGAAAGGAAGGCAGACAGTAACATTGCTGTCTATTTACAAAACTAAGCAACTTAGAAAACCTAATACTCTTAAGATTTTATGGCTGCAGGCAAGATTGGAGCAATAATTTGGGAAGATGAATGGCCATAAAGTTATACCTCATATTTATCCACTTCTCTTCCCCAAAGAATCATAGTTTGTCAGCAAATGGCTTGTATTCTCTTAGGAATCTAAGAGAATAGTGAGAAAGCTTAAGGTTTGTTTTCAGATTTCAGACTATTGAAATTATCCACAGGCCTTTATCTTTATAGCGAGTCATTGTGCATATTGCCCTTCCAAGTAGGGCTGTGCGAGGCTTCAGACCATACTTCAGGTCCAGAGAAGCTTTGGATGCTGAAGCATCCAAAGCAGCATATCTGTATTGAAGCGCTGGCTTCGTTAGGCTTTCTGAAGCATTTCAGAAAAGCTTGGGAGCCACTTCAGAGATCTGGCCATAGGGTATAATGGGGAATCAATGAAATATCTATAACTTCATTGTTTTTGTCTGATTTGGATGAGATTTTCAGGGGTGTAGCCTCTGCTGAGAGCATGAAGCCTGCCAAGTTTCAAGGCAATCTATGCAAGGGTTCGGGGAAAACTGCATCCCAAATTAATTAAAGAAAACTCGTATCACGTGTATGTGTTACCACACAGCAGGGTGAAAACTGGAGGGGTAGTAGCTCCTGCTGAGGCCACAAAGCCTGACATGTTTCAATGTGATAGGTACAGGGGTTTGGGAGAACTGCACCCACAATTCTTGAAAGCAAAACTCATGTCACGTCTATGTGTTACAACACAGGGGGTGAAAACTGCAAGGGTGCTAGCCCCTGGTGAGGCCACAAAGCCTGCCAAGGTTCAAGAAGATCGGTGCAGGGGTTTGGGGGGAACTGCACCTCAAGTTGCTGACAGGCAAAACTCATGACACAGCTGACCCTGTGTGTATTAAGGTGCAGTGGGCTGAAAACTGCAGGAGTGGTGGCCCCTGCTGAGGCCATGAGGCCTGCTAAGTTTCAAGGAGATAAGTGCAGGCATTTCGGGGAAATTGCACCTCAAGCTGTGGACAAGCAAAACTCGTGACATGGGTGATACTGTGTGTTAAGGAGAAGCAGGATGAAAGCTGCAGGGATGGTAGCCCCTGCTGAGGCCACAAAGCCTGCCAGCTTTTGAGGAGATAGGTGCAGGGGTGTTCTGGGTCCCTGCACCTCTGGCTGCTGACAGGCAAAACTCATGGCATGGGTGCTTATGTAACTGTGTCTGTCTTGGGGCGGGGTGGGGGGGACTACTGCAGGCCTGGCTGCTAAGCTACTGTATTACCAGTTACCAATCAATCATGATCTACTCAGGGACCAGCTCAATACACAGTTGCTAGCTAATGTAACCAGTTTCATAGATTTCATAGATTTCATAGACATTAGGTCTGGAAGGGACCTCGGAAGATCATCAAGTCCAGCCCCCTGCCCAAAGGGCAGGAAGTCAGCTGGGGTCATAGGATCCCAGCAAGATAAGCATCCAGTTTGCTCTTGAAGGTGTTCA